CACGGGTCGTGGTGGCCGCGGAGTCCGCAGGGAGCCTGCTATGGGTGGCCGCGGCCTCATGCGGCTGCTCCCGGGCTGGAGTGTGGGGGTGCAGAACGCAGCTGTCCTGCTGCCCCGTGGGGGCGTGCTCCGAACCGGGAGGCCTGCAGCCCTCGCCCTGCTGGGCCTGGCCGCCAGAGGAGGGCCGGGGCGGCACCTGTGCGGGGCTGCTCCGTGGCTGCCACCGCACCAGGCCTCTCCCGCCCGCGCGCCAGGCAGGAGCTGGGCTCTCCCTGCGCCCCTCTGGGAGGGCCTGGCGCGCCGGGGACCTGTGGAACTCTCCAGAAGCAGCCTCCGGTCTGGCCCAGGTTCTCCTGGCCTGGCAGCCCGAGGCCTGTGCGCAGCCCCGCCGCTCCGCCCCGCAGCACCGTGTGGGCCTTTTCTAGCTGTTAACACAAGCCAAACCACCAAGCGAGGGGGCGGGAGAGCCCCGAACGAGGCCTTCTTGGCTGTGAGAGGCCGTGTTCACTCCCGGGGGTCTGGTCTTTGTTCTTTTTATCTTTTGACTGATTAGAGAATTGAAATGTTCCCCCTGAATCAGAGCCTATTCAAGGCGCCGGCGACGTTGATGCGTCCCCATCTGTCCTCAGCCTGCCGAGGGCCTTTGAAAAGTGTCCTTTGTCAGGCATCCACGTGCGCGCAATTACGCTCACCGCTGGGCAAATAACTCTCTGCAGAGCCCAGCCCAGCAGAAGCGGCCTGTGCGTCTCATGCCAAGTCAACGGGTGACGTGTTTTTTCTTTTCTTTTTAGCATAAATCCTGGGATATAATGTGTTCGCATAGTTTACTTTTGTTTTTAATCAAGAGGACAAGATGTTGCGGCAGAATTTTCTTCCTGCAGACCTGCTTGGAAAAGTGGCCAGCAAATACCTCAGTGGCTTGGCCACGTGCCTGTGTGGCCCGCACCGCCCAGGGGGCCCAGGCCCCTCCTGCCACACCGGGGTTTTGTGAGGAAAGCCTCTCACCCTGCCTGGTGGCACTCACTGTGCCCACCCGCCCGCGGTCCGTACGCTCTCGTTCCCAGTGAAATGGAAATTTCAGGTTCAGAGTCGCTGCGGCCAAATTGCCTGTCGCGGTAAGCATGCGTCTGCCTGCTCGCTGTTACTCGGGAGGCAGGACGCGTGAGCCCGCAGCACCGCGTGTGCAGCTCTGGACTCTGTAAGGGGAGGTGGCACCTGCAGGGGAGCCGTCCGTCTCCCTGCCTGTTCCGAAGGGGAGGCGATCTCGCCAGAAACCCGTCCCGCCCGCCGGAGGGTGGTGGCAGAGCTCGTGGCTGCTGCACCTCGTCGCGCGCGCGGTGACTCTCTTCTGATTCTCTTCCGGGGAGGCCTCATGGTCCGGGGACCGGCCGCCTCCATGAGAGCAAGGCCCGCTGTCTGGTGTGTTAGGGTGACACTCGGATGGCCCCGAATCCAGGCAGGGGCCGCTGCCCAGCAAGCGCGGGCCCCGCGGCGCCTCACCATGCCCAGGCGCCTCATGGCCACGGCGCACACCCCGCCCGGCAGGCACGCGCCCACCTCTTTGCTTCCCTTCAGGGTCTGTATCAGTCAGAGAGGAGGTCAGGCTCTCAGGACACTCAGAGTCACTAATTCTGGTGTGACGGACAGGCCGAGGCTCCAGGTGGGGTCTCCTTCCTGTCTCTGCCCGAGCCCCGACATCCTGGGGGCAGGACGCAGGCCCGGCTTTCTGCGGCTGCGCCGCCCAGGCCCAGGCACGTGCGGGCCTGGTAACTCCTGAGGCCGGTGGGCACGGGGCCCTCTCCGGAGGGAGTGTGCCTGTGTCCCGGGGGGTCAGGCCTCTGGTCATGCCTGGGCCGGGGCTCCCGCAGACGGCCAGGCCTTGCTCTGTGCAGGGCAAGGGCTGTGCACAGGGCGCTGGTCCCCGGGGGCACGGGCAAGGTCACACAGCCCCGGCAGAGTGAGGTCATTTCATGGGATGGGACAGCCCTCAGCTCTGCTTCAGCCTGAGGCCGCCTGGCATGCGTTCGGGCGGGTCCCCTGCCTGTCTGATGGGGTGCAGGTCCCTGGTCAGGAAGCTGCCCTGGGGGCGGGTGGTTGGTGCGAGGCAGCCGGTCGCCACTCTGTGGGGGTCAGGCTTCTCCTGGCCAAGCCCGAGCCCGGTCACCCCCGGCCATGTCTCCTGGGGGCCGGGGGCTGGCAGGCGGGGCGCCCGGTGGAACTCGCCCTGCCAGAGAACGGTTTAGCCAGGGGACTTCGGTGACAGGTGCTCCAGAAACGTGTTTCATTCCTGGCCAGCCCGGTGGGGCGGGCGCTGTGTGGCCCGCAGCGCACGTCGGAGCTGCTTGTCGCCCTGCTCCACGGGTGGCAGCTCTTCCGTGAGCACCGGCGGGGGAGGCCGGCAGCTCTGCCCGCCACCCACGCTGGGCAGTCCCGCCCACAGGCCGCCCTGCCCGTCTCCCAAGAACCTCGGCTGCGGGCGCGACCTCTTGGTTAACAAGCGCACTGCATGCTGAGCTCCTCTTGGGCCTGGCCCTGGCTGCGGCCCAGGACGGCGTGCAGGCTGCTGTGTCGCTGTGCGGCGGCGGGGAGGAGGGGTGCGGATAGATGCCGGGCGCCCGGCGGCCCACGGGGGGAGCTCTCTCTGTGTCCGGGACAGGCACGCGCTGCCCTGGAGGCCCGCCCAGCGCCATGTGGGCGACCGTCACCCAGGCTCTGCTCCGCGTGCGCAAGCGGAGGTGTCTCTCTGGTATTGAAATTAAATTTACTCGAAAAATAAACGCATTCCACGAAACCTCAGTTGACGAGAAGAAATCGGATCAGGAAGCTGCAGCGCTGCACCACGTCGGGCTTTCACCAGCGCCATCCTGCGCGGGACCCTCTCCTGGAAGGGGGCCCGGCTGCGCTGTCCCTGGGGGCTGACCCCGCTGTGGTCTGCCGCCGTGAGGGGCGCCCCGCCCAGCCATGTGGCTGGCACACGGGATCTCCTGGGGGGCTGGTTAAGCCAGATTCTCTGCCCCCGCCTGGAGGGTTCCGATCGGGAAGGTTGAGAGGAGCCTGTGTCTGACACTCAGCAAGACGAGCGATGCGCAGCTCCCCGGGGCCCCAGTCGGCCTTGGTGCGCCCCCAGTGTAGGCTGCTGCACCCCCTCACCGGGGGCTGCCGGCAGCGGGCCTGGGAGGTGGGGCTGGCGGGGCTCAGTGCGAAGAAATTTTATTCTGAAAGCTAATGGCGACAACAGCCTTGCTGCCCTGAGCGCGCTTGTTTTGATTTCAGCGTGAGAAGGGTGTTGGATTTCTTGGGGTTGCCCGCCCTTACAGGCCTGAGGCGCCGTGTGTGGCAGACGCCAGTCCTGGTCCCCAGCGGCCTGCGCACGCTCCTTCGCAGCCCCCGCTCCCCACAGAGCGCTGCCCCCTGCGCTCTCCGGCCAGGACTCTGAGCCTTGCAGGTGTGGACATGCAGGGTCCTTCCTCACGTCTGCACGGGAGCTGCCCCTTCAGGGAGAGGAGCCTGGGCTGCAGGAGCCGAATAGCTGGGGGAGCCCCGCTGCCTGGGCCCTCCATCCCCGCCGGCCCCCGCCGGCCCCCGCCGGCCCCCGCCGGCCCTGTGCTCGGCCCGGAGCGCATGGACCTGAGCTCATCCTTGTGGAGGCAGAGTGTGACAGGTGGGGCGGCCCTGGGGTCCCCTGCCTGGTCCCCTCAGCTCCCTGGAGGCGGCCACCTCTCTCCGCCTGGGTATCCAGCCTCCCGCTGGCTTCATGGGCTTGAAGGTGAGCCTCTAAGTCCCCACGGTCCCTCATGTGCCGGTCACGGCCTGGTTGCCGTGGAGCCTCTCCTGCGGTCTCTGCATCCCTGACCCTCCAGGTTTCCCGGCTTGTCCCTCTGTGGGAGTCCGCCCAGCCCCCGGGTTGGCAGTGCCCTGGCCTGTTGGCTCTGGCAGCCATGGGCGGCGGCCTTTTGGGGGTGACATTTGGGGGTGGGTGCAGGAGAGAGTGGAGTCTGCGAAGGGGCGGATGCAGGGGGCGTCCGGCCGGGTCCCCCGCCTCTGGGTCTGGGGGCCAAGCTGCCAGGACCATGTGTCAAGCGAACCAGAGTGCTGACTCCTCTAGCACTTGTTCACATGCCGTGTCTAGAACCTTCTTTGGAGGGACTGAAAATGCCTGTGAACTGTCTCCCGGGCTGCCTGTGAGGCAGGGCGCGGGGAGGGTGCACCCGGGAGAGGGGCACCTGCGACAGTCAGTCGGGGGGACCGTGCAGAGGGGCGTTAGCTGTGCTCGGAAGGCCCCCGCGGAAGCGTCGGCGTGGACCCCGGTCTGTCGGGCTTCGCAGGGCAGCTCCGCACTGCACAGGCCCTCGGGGGTCACGGTCACTGTGGGGCCGCTGTGGTCTGCGGAGCCTTTGCTTCGCGGAGGGACCCCGCCAGGGTTCCACAGCCCTGAAGCCTTTCTGGCGGCTGCTGACCGCTCACTGGGCAGGGACCCGGGCCGGCTGAAGGGGCTCAGGCTGTGAGTTGCCACGGCAGTGCACTGAGGAAGAGTGACTTCATCCCCCGCAGGAGACCATGGGCTGGGGAAATGCGGGCAGGCAAAGTCTGGCTCATCTCTGGGGTGCGGCCGACCTCCCCGAGCCCCAGACCTGGAACCCAGAGGCGCCGGGCCCAGGGCCGTGCCGCTGGGCACTCACCAGCCAGGCCCCGGGGCTGGTGGCGTTTGCCTGACTAGGGTGGAGGTCGTCCTGGGAGCTGGCGAGCCCACCTCCCCCCAGACCCCCAGGCCTGCAGCTGGCGTCCAGCGGGCCGCCCTGGGAAGGAAGGAGAAGGGCCTCTGTCTGCGGGGCTGGCGGCGGGCGACCCCAGCTCTGCCCGCGGCTGCACGCCAGGCAGGCACCGTCCTGGCCGTCTTGCCGCTGTGGGGTGGCCCCGAGGGCCTGGTGGCTGTGGGAGCGGGAGCTCTCAGGGGCCCCGCCCAGGCTGCGAGCCCTGACAGCCACCTCCCTGTCCCGCAGAACAAGTGCACCAGCACCTGGAGCAGCACGAGGTGCGGTACCTGCAGTTCGCCTTCCGCTGGATGAACAACCTGCTGATGCGAGAGCTGCCGCTGCGCTGCACCGTCCGCCTGTGGGACACCTACCAGGTGAGCGCGGGCCGCCCTGCCCCCGCCCCGGCTGTGGGATGCCTGCCAGGTGAGCGGAGGGCGGGGTCCCTCCTCACGCGGGGAGCGGGGAGCCGGGAGCGTGTGCTCCTGTGGGGAGGGCAGGCTCTGAATGCCCATTCCTGACGTCCCTGTCATCCGAGCGATGTAAACAGGGAAAAGGACTTGCAGCTGTGCTTGTGGCCGAAGGGCACACGGCTGTGCGGCAACAGTGTTGCGTCCCCCACCCCCTTCCTTCCTTCCTCTCTCTAAAATCAATGAAACATCCTTGGATGAGGATTTAAAAAAAAAAAAAAAGGGTCAAACCTCTGACTCGGGTTTTGGTTTTCTAGGGCCCTGGCAGTCACAGGGTTTCTGAGCACCAGGCTGGTCGGGACAGGAAGCCTTTCCGTAGGCTGTTTGGCCAAAGCGGCTGACAGCCTGGCGCCGTTGGCCAGGTCTCGGGGAGGAACTTAATCTCCCGTAAATGGCGGATGCTGGTCGTTTGCGGTGGCTCAGGCTGCTCACGGCCCTGCCCCTCGTTAAACACAGAGCGCGGTCCTCGCGCTGCTGGCCCCGTTATGGGTAAATTGGGTATTAAGTCCGCCGTGTTCTCGGGAGCCAGACAACAGACCGTGCGTCCAGGCCCTGCCCCGCTCGCTGAAACACCTGACAGGTATTAAAATGGAAGCGCAAGTGTGGCATCTTTACTGAGTTAATTTTCCTGAAATTAAATTTTGTCACAAATGGACTCATTTGTACCATGGACTCATTCTTGAACTGATGTCCCCTGGTCATAAATTCTTTTATATCTTAAAAATTGGGGGTATTTTTATTTCACAGGCCCAAGTAACCATGAAATTGTACTGCACCTTTTGGCAATGAAAACACGTAGTCATCATAGGATGGGGGTTGGTGATTCCTCTCCCCTAAACCACGTGCTTGTCAGCGGAGCCACTGCAGGTGTCAGCTCTGTGACCCCTGCTAGGCCCCCATGGGATGTGTGTCGACAGCAGCTCGCCGTCCAGTGCCCGCTCTGCCCTGGGCCCGGCGCTGGACGGGGCAGCCACGTGTGAGATGGGAGGGCGTGAGAGCCACAGGCCGCTGGGCGCTGCCCCGCGGTGGGCAAGGGCCCTGCTCCCCGGGTGGGGTGGGCTGCCAGCTCCAGGGCCTTGGCTGCGGGGGCCGGCTGCCAGGACCCCTGCGCCTGGACGGCCTGCTGGGTGCTTTCCCCAGCTCCCACGCTGGAAGGACGCGTCTGCCCTCCCTGGCCGGCTGGACGGCTGTTTGGCACGTGGGCTTCGGCCACCTGGCAAGAGGGACCGCTCTGGCTCGCCTCCTCTGCGGGTGGGCGCAGCTGGGGAGCCGAGCTCCTCAGGCCCTTCTCCCCGCGAGGCGCTCAGCCAGGGCGGGTGCCGTGTCCCGGGGCACCTCCCTGGCTCTCACCTCTCTCCCATGGTCCGCTCCCCGACGGCCCGGTCTGTGTCTGTGAGGAGGCCAGCGGTCTTCGCTGTCCCGTGCGTGAGAGCAGGCACCAGGGTGGCGGGTGGAGGGCCGGCCGACACGGCCGCATCCGCAGCTCATCAGAGTGAACGCTGTCTTCTCCTGAGGGACCAGCTGCCCAGGAGATGGGGCGTGGAGGGCAGCCCGGGCGCAGCCGGCACCTCTTCTCGCCCCCCGCACAGGTGGCAGCCTGCGGGGAGAGGAGGCAGGGCCCGTGGTGGGGGGGCTGCTGTCTCAGGTGAGGACAGCTGCCTGCAGGAGCCAGTCCCCACCGGCCGAACGGAAAGGCTGCGGCGCATGTGCAGCCGGGTACGTCCCGGGTCCTGGGGCGTCTGAAGGCCGGCGGGGTAGGCCGGCGGGGTGGCCCGGCCGGCGTGTCTGCTGTGGTCATGGTCTAGTGCCGCCGCCTCGCTTCCCTGTGGGGATTGCAGGGCTCGGGGAACGTGCAGAGCTGCTGTGCGGTGGAAGGTTCTGGAAGATGGGATGCCCAGCAGGGTGGTCTCTAGGCACAAGGGGCGAGTCAGCACTTGAGAAAGGAGGCCGAGGAACTGGTTTTTAGATTATGTTAATTTTGACTCCCTGGAATGTAAATTGAGCAGCACCCGGCCTGTAGTGGGCGGGGGGCACCCTCCCGGAGGGCGCGTGGGGCCGCTCTGTGAATGAGGGGCTGTGGAGCCACCTCCCTAGCGGCTGGGTTGCAAGGAAGGAAACGTTCCCTTCTGCTGGGTGACTGTTGCGGCGCGGCTCCCTTGGCACAAGGCTCTCGTTAGATTCTTCCCGCATGGGCGCCGAGGCCCCGTCCTGCCACTCCCGCGGGCCGGTCCTCGGGCACGATGGGGTCGGGAGCGCATCGCCTTGGCCTCGGGTCTGGTCCCTCCCACACGGTCCGCCGGGGGCGCTGTCCCCGGGGGCAGGGCCGCTGCGCGGGGGCTCCGAGCAGACCCCAGGCCCTCGGCCACACTGTGCGGGGGCAGCAACGCGGGGGCCCTCCAGCTGCAGGGCGCTGTCATCCCAGTGCAGCTCCGAGCCGCCCGCCAGCCGGGCCGCGAGCCTGCCCTGACTGTAGCTCGGGGTGTGTTCGGACATCTCCCGGGAGCCCCCGTGGACGCCGGTCTGTGACCCCGGACGCTGGCAGAGTGGGCTCTGCTTCCCAGCTGGGCACGGCCCACACGGCTGTGCGCCTGTCCGCCCGGGAGCGCCCCCGTGGGTTGCCTTGTGGGGGGCTGGCATGGAGGCGCTGGGAGACCTGTGGGCGGGGCTCCCCAAGGGCCGCTGGGCCTGGGCTGGGGGCTCGCTCTGGAGCTAGTCCAGGCGGTGGCATGAGGTGGCCGCTGTCAGGGAGGTGCAGGGGCACGCAGCCTGTCTTTGCCTGAGGCCCAGGCGCAACCTCCGAGGAGGCAGGGAGTGGGAGCCCCGGGGCCTCTTGCCCTGGTCCCCAGTCCCCAGTCCCCACGCCTGTGAGCAGGGCTGCGGGATCGAGGCTCGTCCTCGGGAGCGCACGGAGCCCCGGCACCGAGAAAGGCTGCAGGCAACCACCCAGGGCCCTCCTGAGGGCGACGGCTCTGTCACTTTGTGCTGAGCTTGACACAGACTCTTGGCAGGGACGTGGGTGTTGCTGTGTCACCTGCATTGTGGCCCCAAGCAACCTGTCTAACTTCTTTTGGCCCCTGGGGAAGACTGAAGACAATGGGGGCCACTGGGGGAACCCCAGGAGGACTGTGTGCTCGGGCGGCCGGGTGAGCGCAGCCGCAGGGCAAGCGGGTCGTGGGCCAGGCGGGCCCTTGCTGGACACAGCCCGGCAGTGCTGACCAGGCTGGGGCAGGAATCGGCCGGAGGGGGAGAGCGGTCACGGTCACAGGCGCGGGGCTGCCGGAGAGTCCACGGAGTGCGTTCCCTGAAATAGAAGACGCAGTTTTCATTTCCACCAGTAACTGTATTGGCGGGGTATGTCGGCTGTCTCCCGTGAGGTAGAGCGTCCACCTCCATTAACGTCTCCGTTCGATCGCTGTTATCATCAACTGGCCTACCTGTCCAGCGAGAAACCTCCAGCCGGAAACCGCGCAGCCCCGGGGCAGCTGCAGGAGCGGCCGTCGGAGGGGTGGCCCGGAGCCGCCTTCCGGAGGGCTCTGCCCGGCCCATCAGCTGACAGAGCAGGCTGCTCCCCGAGGGAGAATCGAAATGTGCGTGGAGTCCACCTGATTTAAGAAGTACTAGCGTTTATTTCTTGAGTATTCAAACACGGGAACACATATGCAGATGTAACTTAATCACCCCGTTGTTACCTTTCGGCGTTCAGCTGCTGAGGGCCCTGTGGTGGCAGGCTTCCACTTGGGGGGCCCTGGGGTCCCAGCTCCCCACCCCCGCTGGCCTCAGGGCGGGGCTTCGCTCCTGGCTGAGATGGTTTCTGGGCCTTCCCGCCTGTCCCTGGGGCCTTTCGCTGTGTGAGCCCTGCTGTCCCCGCGGGTCGCTGGGTGGAGGGTGGGGCGGGACGTGCTGGACCTAGGCTTGGACTGGTCTCCGTGGTGTGGCTCTGCCCTTGGAGCGTCCGCGAGCCTCTCCGGGGCTCGGGCTCCACCGGGCTGTGGATGGTGCCCAGCGTGCAGGGCTGGCACGTGCGTGGGGCCTGTCCTCCTCAGGACACGCCGTCCTGGGTGTGTGGCTGTGGCGTGAGTCTGAGGTCTGGTCCTCAGACACCCCAAGGACACACGAGCGCTCGTCACGGCGCCTGCATCGCAGGGCGGACGAGGGTCCCGGAGTGTTTCTCACACTGGGGCCTGTGTGCCGTCCCCTGACGTCCTGGTTTGTGTGGTCAGAGAAACAGCGCTGCACCTCCAACCGGCTCTGGGTGGCTCTGGCCCGACGGTGGACGTGTCTGCTGCCGAGCGGCTGGCCTGCTCGGGGCGACAGAGGTTCCACGGGGCTCTTGGAAGATTTGGGGTCCTGCGGCACAGCCCCGTCAGCCCCGAAGCCCCAGGGGTGAGAGGCCGGTGACAGAGGACAGCCAGCTTGCAGGGACGCTGAGGGAGGGACGAGGCCTGAGGCCCAGTCCCTCAGCCCATGCGACAGGCTTCCTGGGGACCCCTGGAAACACGGCGGGGGGCAGCATCTCGTCAGGCCTGAGGCGGCGGTGGGCAGTGGAGGGCGCCCTTGTGTGGCCTGCTGTCCCGGGCTCTGACCGGAGTCGGGCTTTGAGCCGCCGTGGCTGCGCCCCCTTCGCGGCCCCGGGCTCTGCGGCGTCAGGCTGGCACTGTCCGGGCTCGGCCCCGCTGCGGGCCCGCGCACGCCTGTCCCCGCCTCCCTCCCAGCTCCCGGTGTCATTGCTGCCTTGGTGGCTGTGGCCAGCAGGCACGTCCCTCCAGCCTCTGCCCCTGTAGTCATGCGGCGTTCTGCCTCGAGTGCCTGCGTCCAAGTTCCTTCTTTGTGGGAGGCCCCGCCACCGGCCCGGGATGCCCCTCAGCCACTGTGACCTCGCCCACTCTGCACCTGCAGGGCCCGGGGCC